AATGATTCCAGACGTTAACCATGGATTTCATTCATCCGTTGCCATGGAAAATTTCCAGACGATCCTGACGCTTGATTCCAGACTTTCCCAAAGGAAGTTCCAGACTTTTTAGAAGACAGGCGTTCTCGAAGAAGATTCTGGATGTTGCCGAAGATAATTCCAGAATTTTCTGACGCGAGATTCCAGACGATCCAGAAGACGTTTTCTGACGTTCTTCCAACGGAATTTCCAAACGTTTTCTGGCGTTCTCGATGGAGGTTCCAGACGTCCCAAAAGATGATTCCGGTAGCCCCATATGATAATTCTAGAGGCTTCAGACGGAGACATCTACAGTAGAGATTCCACACGGGTTTGATGAAAATTTCATCCGTTGCCACGGATGATTCCAGACGATCCAGAAGACGTTTTCTGACGTTCTCGACGGAAGTTCCAGACGTTGCAAAAGATGATTCCAGACGTTAACGATACCACAAGTTTTTGGTGGAAATTTCATCCGTCGCCGCGGATGATTCCAGACGATCCTGACGCTTGATTCCAGACTTTCCGAAAGGAAGTTCCAGACTTTTTAGAAGACTGGCATTCTCGAAGAAGATTCTGGATGTTGCCGAAGATGATTCCAGAATTTTCTGACGTGAGATTCCAGACGATCCAGAAGAGGTTTTCTGACGTTCTCGACGAAGGTTCCAGTCGTTCCAAATGATGATTTCAGGCGTTTCAGATCATAATTCTAGACGGAAACATTTAGAATGGAGATTCCACACGTTTTTGATGGAGATTCCATCCGCTGCCGATGATGATTCCAAATGATCCTGACGCGAGATACCAGGCGTTCCCAACGGAGTTTCCAGACGTTTTCTGACGTTTTCTGACGTTCTCGACGGAGGTTCCAGACGTCGCAAAAGATGATTCTAGTAGCTCCAGATGATAATTCAAGACGCTACAGACGGATACATCTACAGTGGATATTCCAGACGATCCTGATGCTAGATTCCAGACTTTCTCACAGGAAGTTTCAGACGTTTCAGAAGACTGACGTTCTCGAAGGAGCCGAAGATGATTCCAGAATTTTTTGACGCGGGATTCCATACGTTACAGAAGACGTTTTTCGTCGTTCTCGACGGAGTTTCCAGTCGTTCCAAAAGATGATTCCAGGTGTTCCAGATGATAATTCCAGACGCTACAGACGGAGACATTTACAATGAAGAATCACACGGTTTTGATCGAGATTCCATCCGTTGCGGAAGGTGATTCTAGACAATCCTGACGTGAGAATCCAGACGTTCCCAAAGGATGTTTCAGACGATTCAGATAACGATTCCAGACGTTCTCGGTGGAGATTCTGGACGTTCCCGAAGATGATTTCGCCGAAGTGTTCGTGAAGTTCAACTGAGCCTTCTGTCAACATGCACATGACCGGAAAGTTTCAATAAGATATATAATGCTCTCCAAAGTATTCTGAAGTTCAACTGAGTCTTCTGTCAACATGCAAATGACTGGATAGTTTCAATAAGATATGTAATGGTCTCCAAAGTATTTTGGAGTTATGATCATTGAGATCTACAGGGTCAATGAAGTCTTGGACGATGTCCTGAGAGTTTTTAAGGGTTCATGAAGTTCAAGAGAGCCTTCTGTCAATAAACTTATCATCGAATGTTTCAATAAGATATTTCATGCTTTCCAAAGTACTCCGGAATTCAGATATTGAAGACCTAAAGGCTCAATGAAGCCTTGAACAATGTCCTGAAAGACTTTTTGAGTTCGTGAAGTTCAAGTGAGCCTTCTGTCAACGTGCACATAATCTAATGCTATCAATAAGATACTTCATGCTCTCCAAAGTATTCTGGAGTTAAGATCTTGAAGATCAACCGGCTCAATGAAGTCTTGAACAACGTTCTGAACTTTTTGAGTTCATGAATTTCAACTGAGCCTTCTGTCAACATGCACATGACCGGATAGTTTCAGTAAGATATTTAATGCTCTCCAAAGTACTCTGGAGCTACGATCATTAAGATCTACAGGCTCAATGAAGTCTTGAACGATGTCCTGAGAGTCTTTAAGGGTTCATGTTTCATAAATTTAAGAGAGCCTTCTGTCAATATACTCATCATCAAATGGTTTCAATAAGATATTTCTTGCTCTCCAAAGTACTCCGGAATTCAGATATTGTAAACCTACCGGCTCAATGAAGCCTTGAACAATGTCCTGATTATCTTTATGAGCTGGGAAGTTCAAATGAGCCTTCTGTCAACATGCACATCATATAATGCTTTCAATAAGACATTTATTGATCTCCAAAGTATTCTGGAGATACGATCAATAAGATCTACAGGCTCAATGAAGTCTTGAACGATGTCCTGAGAGTTTTTAAGGGTCCGTGAAGTTCAAGAGAGCCTGCTGTCAATAGACACATGATCGAATGGTTTGAATGAGATATTTCATGCTCTCCAAAGTACTCCGGAGCTCAGATATTGAAGATCTACAAGCTCAATTAAGCCTTGAACAATGTCCTGAAAGACTTTCTTGAGTTCTTGAAGTTCAAGTGAGCCTTCTGTCAACGTGCACATCATCTAATGCTTTCAATAAGATATTTAATGCTCTCCAAAGTATTCTGGAGTTAAGATCTAGAAGATCAACCGGCTCAATGAAGTCTTGAACAACGTCCTGAACTTTTGAGTTCATGAATTTCAACTGAGCCTTCTGTCAACATGCACATGACCGGATAGTTTCAATAAGATATTTAATGCTCTCCAAAGTATTCTGGAGCTACGATCATTAAGATCTACAGGCTCAATGAAGTCTTGAACGATATCCTGAGAGTCTTTAAGGGTTCGTGAAGTTCAAGTGAGCCTTCTGTCAATATACTCATCGTCGAATGGTTTCAATAAGATATTTCATGCTATCCAAAGTACTCCGGAATTCAGATATTGGAGACCTACAGGCTCAGTGAAGCCTTGAATAATGTCCTGATTATCTTTCTGAGTCCGGGAAGTTCAAATGAGCCTTCTGTCAACATGCACATCATCGTATGCTTTCAATAAGATATTTAATGCTCTCCAAAATATTCTGGAGATACGATCAATAAGATCTACAGGCCTAATGAAGTCTTGAACAACGTCCTAAGAGTCTTTGAGGGTTCGTGAAGTTCAAGAGAGTCTTTTGTAAACAGACATATTATCGAATTGTTTCTAAAAGATTTTCTGTTCTGGAAGCAAAAGTGATCGCCATTGGGCCACCGAGTCCCTTATATCGACGACTTTGACTCAAAGAAACGAAGGCATTCACATAGAATGACTACCTAAGAACGAATAAACACTTCTTGACCGAAATTTACTAAGTTGTAAAGGGGGTCACATCCCAATAAATCGCGTCACTCTATACAGATGCTTGCACGTATGACCCCACTGAACTCGAAAAAAGTGTTACCCTTTTTACAAAACACGATAGAGGCAAACAGACGCACAACCCCTCTCCCTCAAGAAATTAGAACCTAGTGTCGGTAGTCGTTAAATTTAATCGAATAATGTATTAGAATCTAGAGTTTATTTTTTTATTTTTCGGATGGAACACACACATTTTGCTGTTCCTGGCACTAGATCAAGGGGGGCGACTATATCTAAGAATTTTTTTGCTTTGCTGTTGTGATATGCACTCGCGCTTAATAGATAGAAACACGATTGATTGTGATTTTGAAGATTTCCTGCAAAAAGGTGGAGAACGAAGCGAGTAGATGGGTTTAGATGCAACAAATGAAAAAAGATTTTTCGTAAATTGATTCGCTAGTGTGAGATTTTTCGATTTAAAATCGAGATTTAGATGTGTCGCACCCCTCGCACTAGACGAATATTCTCACCCACTGAGCGGAAGCGAAATTGCGGTTACCTGTCGCTGAGAAAAAATGATGCCAAAAACCTCGTTACTGCGACGCTTACCTGGCTTTACTGCTAGATTCTATTTACCTTGTCAACATCTGGCCCCGGAATGGTGTGTCCCGGAAACGATTTACTACTCTGTTCATTTTCAATAAAGCTCTCGCTCGGCGCAGAGGAGGAAGGTGCCACAGTTGACGGAGAACCAACTTTCCGCCCACTTGCACACGGCGAATGAGAACGACCCAAATTCGAGTTTAGTTTACTCATAATCGCAGAAAGTGCAGTAACTCAGCGATGAGTAAATTTTCCTCATGTTTTCCTGTGGAAAAGCTAAAAAATCTGCCGGAAAATGAGGAAAATTGACGGAAATGTTACTCAGTATTGGAGTAGTACCAATAGACTGAGTGAATCAAATGTTTTTAAATAAGAGTTCCAGCACTTTATGTGATTCATGAGTAAACTAAACCCAAATTTGGCTCGTTCTCATTCGCCGTGCACCGATGACAGACGTAGACAGACATCATTTGCTTTCGTTTACACTTGGACAATTCGCAATTCGTCCGGGTGCGATTCTCTGGAGGTGCTTGAGGAGAGTTTCCGTACTTTTCCGTGAAGCAAAGATGGAAATCGGCTGATGGGTGGGAGCTCACGGGTTTTATTACGTTACATTTATCAAGAAGATCAAATGGAGGAAATGTGTCTGCTTTGGAAGTTCACTGTCAGTGAGCGCTTGCTATTGAAGAGGTTCTTTTGTGCTTTTACCGTAGTTCAAAGAGCGGTGCTGCGGTTGGTATGCATCAGTTCAGGAAAGACAGAACGTAACCTTACAACTCAAAGCTGAAGCTGTCAGTCTTAAATTTAGTGTGCTTTGTATTCAGAGTTTTACCGTATTACTGTGTAGCATGATACTCTTCTTGCGAAATGAGAAGAGTAAACCGATTGCCCGCCAACGCCAATTTCGCAATCATTGCACCACACCGTCATCGAACTTTCAGCCAACAGCAACACCAATAATAACAACACATAATTCCATCAAACAAAACCATTTTCCATCTCATTGAGCTGATGAGCCACTGTTTCGTAATAGTAATTTCACAATCGTCAGTCAAAATCAATCAAGAAAACACTCACCTCGAATAAAGCTCGAAATACAAAGATAACGATGCGGAAAAATACGGTGTAAAACAGTGTACGATGATCCGCCTCCTACGCTTGGCACCAACTGTCAGGGGTATTCGTTTGCTTTCTTGCAACGCTTTGTTTCTGTTAATCCAAGGTTAATGATCTGCTGCTGGGATCCGAGTTTCCCCTAATTTTCGCACGACTTTTTAAATCAATATCTTCGTGCTTCCGGCTCCGGCACTTTTTCGCTGAACTTTGCTAAGCATTCACAACAAAGCCTCTAATAATAATACGAGCGCCCGCGATAAGATTCACTTTTATTTTCAGATTACTCACTCGCGCTTTTCACTCCGAAATAGGAAATGGCAGCAGAAACAACAACAATAAAGTAGTAGGCGCAACACACAACACGAAACGGGAAGAAGCGGCAAGGGAAGCGAAACAAACGGTTTCTTTGCTTTTCACTTTCATTCGCTGCACTCTTCGTCTTCTTCGGCTTGTTCGTCGTCGTCCACTATGGATCAAATTTCAAACACTCCTCGTCTCCGATGGGGCTGCCCATTCTTCTCTGACTGACGGGCGATTAGCGGATGATTCTGCACTTACACACGTATGACCCGGACCGATGCACGATGATGGGCTGCGAACAAAAGAAAACGAAACAAGAAGGAAAAGAGAGAAGGTTAAAATAGAAAACGGCATAATCGAAAAACAGGTTCGTCTCTTTAATCGCTGTGGGGAGTTGGTTGATTGCGTTGCTATGGGGAGGCATTCGGCGGGGGGACCGACCGCCTCCCAAACGAAAGGGAAATTAGATAGACTTGTGCGCCGAGCGTTATGTTAAACAAATCTTGAATTGGAAGATTTTAAGGCTGTGTTCCATTTGGTGAATTTTCACCTACGTTTGACAGATGGAAGTTTTTCGAATAAACCTGCTACTGTACCGGACTTATTTCTGGCAGATCAGGAATCTGCCTCACTATAAATAGGATTTATTTTAATAAAAAAAAAAACATTTCTCTTATTGTACTTTCGTTATATTAGTTATACTTCCTGATGGTTATTTCGAGAAAGAATTCATATTTGGATGACGTAACACTGCGTAATGCTAACGCTGTTGCGGCACGTTGAAAATATCTTACACGATTAACCGAAAATCTGTACATCTTCTCCATAAGGTGGAACAATGTTGTGAAAGTGTCATGAAATATTGAGGTTCGTCATCTGCGAGCGTTCAAGTCTCTCAGCTATAAAATGTAACAACGTTGCCCATTTTGAACCTTCGGAGCCAGTAAACTGTCCATCTGGATCACCTCACTCTACTTTCCCAAGCGAAGTTGGAACTGCTCCGTTGTGCAACTGGGGCAAATAAAACGTTTCCATTTTAGAGCAGGTCAGTCATCGCTGAAACAATTGTGCGCATGCATAGTCGCTTATTACCATTGTCTTCATGGCGGTGGGCCACGTGCAAGAAACTTAAAACGTCAACAACCAACCAACGGTATAAAGTGACCATTGCCTCCACTGGCGGCACAGCGAGAAAACAAAGGCAAGCGAACGACTTTCACTGTGGAGAGCTTCCCGCATTCGTTCGTTCGTGGCCTGCTGCTGCTGCAGCTGAGAAGCTCGCGGAGAGGTTCACCTGAATGACCAACCAAGTAGGCTTTGCCTATCACCGTGAGCCAATCTGGAATTGGTTTTCTTTTGTGACATCATACTGTAATGAGATTAGGTTCTAATCTGAATCTCCACTCACAAGAGATCAGCATTACATTTTTGGTCCAAGTGTATAGTTCGGCAGACGAACCTTAACGCTTTATCGTTTCCATTGAAAACAATGAAATCGAGTCAACTGAATGAGAGGGAAATTCAAAGGGAAGGGAGAGAGAGAGAAAAAAAAAACAAACGACAATGGTGACGGCGAGTTCCGGTGTCCCACTTTCGGAGAGACTCCAGTCGACTTCGCCTTGTCTTGCGGTTCGTGTTTTTGAACCATGTGGCTTTCGATGGTGTAGGGTGTGAAATGCATTTTGTGGTGGAAGACGAGGTCAAATCCGTTTCTCAAGCGACGACGACGACTACTACGATGATATGTTGCCGCCTCATGTGAGCTTCGTAGATTGCCCGACTCGCAGACAATCGATTCCCCGTTGCTTTCCCACATGGTTCTGTTTCTGGAGGGGAGGGAGGGGGCGAGATCCGACCACCACAAGTAGTGGGAATCACTTTCGATTAAAACTGCACACACACGTACGAACACATTTTAAGGCGCTTTGCCACATCGTTGCATTCTTCGAAGCAGTGTGCGCTAGACTTGAGCGCCGATGATGAGCTTTTTTTGCTAGTCTATTAAAACAGAATCACGCTTAAGGCCCAAGCGCAATGACAGCGGAAAATGGAAAAGCCCGATCTGAGTAAGCCTACTTGTCGGATTGAAAACTAGTTAGAACCAAATCGACATCGGCTAGGCTTCTTGATGTCATTTGTGACAACTGTCAAACTTTCCGTTTCCGTTCCGCTGCCGTCCACATTGCGTTTGGGCCTTTACCGTTTTAACACATTATGGCATTAGATACTGCAACATTGATTTAAAAAAATGCACCGTCTCCTTCAACCAACTATCAAGAGAAAATTTGATAGTAATCGTTCATAACGGTCAATGTCGCAAACGTAAACAAACTGAGTTATTGCTAAGACGATTTCAATCAAAAAACAAAACAGCGATCGTCACACTTTTTTGATTTCTAATCCGATGTGTTGAATACGCCCTGCTTCTCCAGGTAGTAGTCCATCGGGGTGTAATTCACATTTTCCAAGAACGCAGGACCAATGTTTGTGTTAGATGGCTTTCGAGCTGTTTGTCAATATTCCACGTTTTCGAGGAAGATTCTAGCCGTTGCCGAAGATTATTCCAGATGGTTACTACCTGGGGGCAAGACAGCTGTACTCAGAGTAAATATATTTGCAACGAGTAAACTTGAGTTACTCATATTTACTCAAAAATGATCAAAGTAGTCTCGATTTTCTGATCAAAGAAAATATCATCTGACAGCATATTTCGTTTGAAGCATCTGTTCGCCCATTTGAAAGATCGAATCGCTCGTTTAACAAATCGAATTGTGGACAAACGAAATGCTCCTGTGGTGGTTTGACTGCACGACGGTTTTACGAGGCTTGTCGTTCTTGTGTGGCTTGGATGCCTTTCAGGCACCTTCCCTCGTTGGTGAGGATTGACATGGCCTAGGACGATACGGGTGTAACGGGAGCGACGGGAGTGACCCGTTCCACAAGGGGAATGCTCCTTTTCGGTTACCTGAGGTACAACCCGAGCTTTAAACTTCCTTCGTGGTCAATATAATTGGTCCTTGACTACTGATTGTGGTATATTATGTAGTTGCTGATTCTAGGCCAGATTAGGTCAGCTCTGACCAGCTTCGTGGAGTTTGTTAAGGTTCAACAATTAAATTTGTATTCTTCTTATTTTTGAAATATTCTTCAATCATCATCATGAGTATACACATACATTCACACATTATTAATACAAAAATTTAACACATGTATTTCATGATCTTAGACCGAAAACTTCCCGGCTAAAGCACATTCACTGTATTTACTTACTTGTGTTCTTCGTAGCATACCACAATTACACACAATCGAATACACGAAATTCAAAACAACTGCTTCTCAAAACTCTTGGTGAACAAAATTGCACACCAAGAATACCACTTCAACTTTAGCGCTTTGCCAGCAATCGTAAATGTATCATTGAAAAAGCGTTGCCAGATGTATTGCCAGATGTAGCAATGAATTAAAGTTTATTAAAACAAGCAATTGTCTCATTAACATGGATGAGTGGATGTATTTAATGGTGAATAAATATCGAAGGATATTCCAAAATGAAGAAGTAAACAAATTATTTACCCTTTGTGGAACCTTAACATTAATAATCATGCCATGGTCAACAACCATAAACAGTGCCGTACCGTTTTTGGAAACACGGCCTCATATGTTTATTTCCTCAATTTTGTGCCTAGAGCACAACATTTCATGAAATATCAAGCGTCTAATCCCTAAAGAATGATCGAGTTATATTATAAATTGAATGGTGCTTTCGATTTGTTATCAAGGAAGGCTCTGTATTCTTATCTTTTTGAAAATCGTGCAGGCTGTATGTACGCTATTATTTTTATATATTTGTGTAAATTACGTTTTCATTGAGTTTCTGGAAGTTTAAAAAACATATATAAACGTGAAGAATTGAATTTATTGAATTAATTTAGCCTAATCCGAACCTATCGAACCGTCTCAAAAGTCCCTACACAGAAATTCCAAGAAAGCACGTCAACTTACTTTGCTTGACAGCATCGGTTTCAACATTATTTTCAATATAACAATCAGGTTGCTATAAGATTAATATAAGATATTGAGTTACGTGAGTAACTCAGAGTTACTCAAAATTAACTCCGGTGTTACTCATGATCGAAAGCTGTCTTGCCCCCAGGTTACTACTACTCCGTATTCTTCAAATTCTTTTGGAATTTTTCTCGATGCAACGATTCTTTAAATCAGTTGTGAAATCTGCTCAGGAATTCCTCAAAATATGCTTCAGAATTTGCATGGAATTCTACTTTTAGTTTCCATGAAATTCTCATAGGAATTACCACCTCCTCCCCTTGAGAATTCCCTGGGAAATCTCATCAGAATTCCTTTGTAATACACCTTAAACTAAATTTGGATTTATCTTCCTTCTCTATTAACTTCCACCGAATTCTCATCACAATTGTCCTGAACTTATAGCCAGAACTCCCTTGGAATCATTCAGAATTCTTTCAAAATTCTCCTGCAACGCTTTTCACAATTCCTTAACCAAATATTCCTGAGCGTTATTTAAATTTAATCCTCTTCTTTGGTGGAATCATGCTTCGATTTGTCGTTGAATTTCTCCAGCTATTGCTCAGCACAGATTTTTTAGTTGATTTTGAATATGTTATGTTACTCGATCGCAGTAGACTGCGCTTGAATGCTGACGTTTTTATCTTTTGCTGCTTATTTTTCATCAGCGAATTAAACATTTTTTCTTTAAATTTGTTAATTTGTGTGCTGAAATTTAGTTATCATTTAGTGATGTATCGTGTTTTGCCTTGAGTGACTCGGTTCACCTTGAATTTAACCTCATAAAACTACGACGTAGCTTCAGTTCCATTGTTCGGTGTCGGTTTTCATTGCCTCCCGGGAGCCCGGTTCTCCGAGTTCGGATGCCACACTTTCGGCGTGTAGTTATGTTGAGAGATTCGTCACCATTGAGCCCGGTCCGGTTGGTGAATAAGCCCGGGAACGTGCTGATAATGTGTCCGTCGCGAGTTTTGGTGTTGATTCAGTGGCCGACGTTGCCGTGAATCAGCAAGTCTTCCGCTAGAAAAAGTGCTCGGCTGCTGGTCTCTCGCCGGTGTCGGAAATTGCGAGCAATCTGAAGGATGCCTCGCTGGATACGCCCAACACTGGTTGGTTGGTAGCTGGTGGCCGCGAACGGTTCCTGGGGAAAGCACTAGACGCGAACCTCTTCGAAAATTTGTGTTCGTTGAAGGAAGTATTACGACAAAGATAAATCACGAAATGAGACGCAAAGCGTAGAGAAAAACA